ATTGGCGAAAGTCATGACGTCCCTGTCTCTTTTCGTTCTCGAGTTAGACGAAAGAGCAGACGACGGGACAAGACCATCGCATTAAGGGCGGTACTTTTCGATAGAAATTCTCAGCGCATTAGCGGAGACAATTCTTATTCATCTATGTGGAATATAAGTATTTCACGTAAACACCCAGTATCCAACTACGTCAGAGATCTCAAAAAAATCAAAACCCAGTACCCAAGAACACCAAGTAACATTTGATTGTAGATTTAGCTGTGGCAGCCAAAATAAGTTATGGTAACGTCATCTCAGCACCCTATTTGGCTGTATTTTAGCATGCTGTAATTTGGCTTTTTTTTAAACTGCGCCAACCTTATGTAGGGCAAAATGCTGACTAATATAATTCCTTATTTGTGTTTGGGTTTAAATATAGTCATACTAGCAGCTGCAATTGCCATATTACAGCCACTGAATCATTTGGCTGAAATCTACCTTTTTTAATAGCAATATTAGCTATATCACAGCTAAATATAAAGCAAATTTCCAGCCATTGGACTATTACGATTTTTTAGCTGTTACGTGGATTTTAAAGCTCTAAAACAGCTAAGTATTTTTCATGGCCCTTATGTTTATTTTCTCTTTGATTTTATAGGTTAGTTTACTGTTTACTTGGTTTGTTTACATTGCAATTATACTTACGTAGTAATGGACAAAGTAAAACTTTCCTTAGCAGATATAGAAAAATTAAAAAAGTTTAAGAATAGTGGAACCTATTATCGACGAATTAAAAAAAAACTAAAATTTGACCAAAACCTGAGTGCGATAAATAAAACTAACCCTCAAGAACAATCAGTGCATGTCCAGGATCAGGATCAGATTTTCGTTGAACAAAAAAAAGTACCAGTACCAGTAAATAATAAACAAAAAAACCCAGAAATTTCATTGCGTATAAGTGACAAAATTCACAATGACGATGAAGGTACATGTGGAGATAATATGGAAGGGAATGGGACCCATATTTATCAAACAGATAGTGATGATGATAGTATTGACATTGAATATGACAGACGTGAATTGTTAAGAAATTGGGCCATTTCTTTTAATATAACACATAGAGCAACGACAGCCTTATTAAGTATTCTGAAATCTAAAACATTTAACTTAACAGAGTTACCAAAAGATTCACGAACACTTTTACAAACACCTACAAATGTAAATATATTACCAATGGGGGTTGGGAAATATTGGTATAATGGAATTCAGTCGTGTTTAGAGCAATATTTTGCCCACATTGATAAACCAGTTAATATTACTTTAAGCTTCAATATAGATGGATTACCAACTTTCAACAGCTCCAAAATTGAATTCTGGCCTATTTTGACCTCAATTCTTAATGAAGTAAACTGCCCGCCTTTAGTTGTCGCTATTTATAGTGGATCGTCCAAGCCGCCCAGCCTTGAAGAGTTTCTTACACCATTTGTGAATGAGCTAAAACAGTGGTGTTTCTATAAACAATCAACAATGTAAGGTAAACATTAGATGTTTTATATGTGATTCGCCTGCCAGAGCTTTTGTAAAAGGTAAGTATCATGTTAATAGTTCAAAATACTAGCTAATAAAATACATTTCAGGTATTGTTAACTTCAATTCATATCATGGATGCACAAAATGCATTACAATTGGCGAATATTATCATGATTCTCACCGTATGAGTTTTCCACGTATAGATTTACCACGGCGAACTGATTTAGACTTTCGAAAATGGACCGATCCTGATCATCACAAAGAAATTTCTCCCCTACAAGTGCTTCCAATAGATATGATAAAAGATTTTCCTGTTGCTGATTCCTTGCATCTATTACATCTTGGTATTATGAAAAGATGTTTGTCAGGTTGGAGGGATGGAACTTTTAAACGCTATAATTTAAAATGGTCAGCACAGGAAATTAATAGAATTAGTAATTTTTTACTACAATGTAGAATGCCATACGAAATTCATCGGGCTGTTAGAGGTTTAGACTGTCTTGCATTTTGGAAAGGTTTAGAATTTCGCACATTTCTTTTGTATATAGGGCCAGTACTTTTAAAAGACTTTTTAACTGATAATGTGTACCAACATTTTTTGATGCTGTTTTGTGCTGTAACCATCTGTTCGTGCTCTGAGTATGTAAATTATTTAGAACTGGCTGAAACATTGTTAAATGCGTATATTGAAAAGTACATTGAAATATATGGAGAAGATGCTATAACGAGCAATGTCCATAACCTGTGCCATTTGGTTGACGATGTCAGAAGATTTGGGAACTTGGAATCATTTAGCGCATATCCATTTGAGAATATGCTTCACCATATTAAATGTTTATTGCGCACAGGAAACAATCCACTATCACAAGTAGCTAAACGCATTACTGAATTTAATCAAAGCAATAAATATCAAATAAGGAAAAGCACATCATTTCCAACGTTACGACAAGAGGTTAAAGTAAAAGATACTGAATTAACAGAAAATAATTTACAGGGAAACCTTTTCCACAAAATTATATTAAATGAAGGTTTAGTATTAAATGGTGAAGTGAGGAACAAATGGTTTCTAACTAGAAACAATGAAATTGTTGGAATGAAATATGCCACAATTATTAATAATGCCATTTATATCTATGGATCAAGTTTAAAAAGAATTGCGCCCTTTTTTGAGACACCTATAAAATCGTCCCATTTGAATATATTCAAAGCTTCATCTGAAAAAAACTCTCTTACATTGTTTTCAATAAGTGAAATAAAGTGCAAATTAGTGATGATACAACTATGTCATAATGAAAGAGTTTTTATTCCACTACTACATAGTTTCGAAATAAGTTAAAAGATAATGTAACTATCAAATAAGTATTATAAAAAAATTGTAATAACAATTAAAGAGCAACATCAACCAAAATCTCTTCGGAATTAGCATTAGTTTTCTTTGCATTTGCTTTTGTCTGTTTGCCAGCTCTACTGGCACTATTCTTTAAAATGCGTTTAAAAAAACTGTTATTGTCATCCATTGTGTACCTTAAAATTAACTTATAAAATGATTGCATGTGTTTGTAAATCTTTACCTGGAATCTGCCAAGTGAATTATATTATAAAATGATTGAATTACATTTTTGTATTCCATAAATGCGATTTTCTTATCATTTTTTGTTTTGGTTGACCCAGTCCAGGAGCAACTAACTAAAAATTGTCTCTCAAATATGGCATCTACGACCATATATGTAATTCTGTTGCTATTTTTATTTCCATCTACTCCTCCAATACGTGTTAAGTGTTTTACCTGAAATTTCAAATTTTACAACAAATTACAGTTTTACTATATTTACTGTGAAATTGCAAGGTAACATCTTTATATACTTACAAATACGGATTGTAAATCTTTGTCACCTAATTTTTTTTCAAGATCGTTTAGTTGATCCAGATTTGAAAGTGGGAGTGGCCGGAGTAAAGAAGTCATCACACTCATCACTTCATCGGAGACATCAGTACTGGTAGATTCTTTTGCAACAGTGGTTATACTTTTTTCTAATGTTGTTAAAAGTAATTCAAATTGTGTGTGCAGACCTGCTATGGACTTTTTTATGACCTCTTGTTGCTCAAACAGTTGCTCTTGATTTAAAAGTATTTTTTCAATTTGTGTCGTTTCAAGAATACCTATTGCCAATATGATCAACATAAGTATAATAAAAAAATGATATAGTAAATTTTACATACCTTGTGGATTGTCCACTTGTTTGGGAAGCGTAAAAACTCCCATATCATCCGAAATCAGAATAAGTTCAGAATCTTGTGGTTCTGTAGTCGAAGTCTTAATTTCCTCACACCTAACAGTCTTACTACTATCTATAGTTTGATCTATAAACAAAGATGGTACAACTGTCTTTGCAGGTGGCAAATTTTCCACATTTAACATGTAGTTAAAATCATAACTTTCCGTCTGTTGAAATTTACGTTGAGGATGTAACCTATCTTCTTGCTGTCTACATTTATAGCTAAAACAGTTTACATAAGTATTTCATTGATAAATTGTTTCAATGTTCTAACTTTTCTTCATCAGCAGTGTCGTCAAACTTTGACATACTCTTCTCCTGCATCAATGCTTCCTTAAAGCTCGATATATTGTGTCGCTTTACAATACATTTGGACTTCGACCAAGTTTGATCGGGAATTGCATTCTCATTTTTCCGGAGGCGATATCCACTTCTTCCTGGTGGCCAATATAGGTATCCGTTTTCTTCCCACCTGTCCGGAACAACAGTAAGGACCTCCTCGTCATCTTCTGTTGTTTGCACAATTTTAAATCCCATAACCACTAAAATCAAATTAACGCAGTAATTACGAAAAAGCAGTAATAACACAAAAACAGTAAACAGCACAAAACGCGGTAAGGTAAGCGGTAGTTTCGTTTGCAAAACATAAGTCGTTAAAAATAACTACATACCAAGTAGGCGCAGTGGTCCAATGGCATCAACCGGCAGATTTCAACACAATGACGAAAAACTTCCCGGGTTCGAATCCCACTCTCGGCAAGGATAAGGTAAATTTAGTAAATCATAATTACATATGAATGTATAATAAATAGACTGTGGGTTAATTTCAATATGAGGAGAAACGAGTTCGTAAATAAAAGTTAACGAAAAAGTGTAATTTAAAGTTTTGTTTTTTTTAATTAAGTAATTTTTTTTAATATCTATTTTTAGAAATCTGAATAGTGATCTACCTAGCTGTAATGTGGTTATAAAAGCCTTATCGGATGGCTTAAATAACGTTGTGTCAGCCAATATGTGTAGCTGTATAATGTACATTTAAGTCTCTTTCCAAACGTTTTTACAGCCACCGTGAGATAGTCATACAAGCAGGTTGCGGCAACGTTTGGAAGTCCAGAATATGATCGCCATTTCGGTTGTGGCAGCGCTTTTAAAATGTTACTAAAAGGTTGCGGCAGTAGCTGTGACAGACAAACAGCTGCCCTTTTTGCCTGTCGCAACGTTATAATGACTAAAATACAGTCAACATTGTTACTTGGGCTGTATTTCTAAGATAATGTTCTTGTCATCCATCCTATAAGATTATTCCACTAGATGTCGCACTAGTAATTTCCCTCTAGTTTATGTATAAAAGGACCCAAATGAATTCCCTAAAACCGCTTCCATTTTCTTCTAAGTTGGAAAGGAAAACAATGCAATGGTTAAAGTTAAACACATACATCGATGAATATAAAGCACAGTTGAGTAATCAAGGAACAAAGTACCTAAAACACATAGGAAGTATTGTGTAATCATTCCCCTTTCTAATGAAGACGTTGTCACTTTCCGAGTTTAATATTCAAAACTTGTAAGATGGTGTTTGTACATCAAAGTTGGCATTTAATAAAGGCCATTACATCCGAGAGTTTTACAGTTGAGAATGTAGATTCTCTTGTTTCTATTACTCTTGATAACGAACTTCGTTACCCGACTCTGCTGCGCTGTCTATCTAAATTAATGCACAAAGGCTCCTCTACGGTTCCGCCATTTGCACGTTCAAACTTCTAGCCGAAATAAGAAAGTGGATTTGGTTTGTGCGTCCTTCTCTTAAAATAAAATTAGTTAAATTACCGACGTAGGGATAATTATTCCTGTGTATATCCAGGCGGATCCCTTTTATAGTTAATTTAAAATGCGTTTTCCGGAGAATAACTCGTTTTAAATTCTGATTGAATTATTTCCCGTCTGTTGGTTTCGCGCAGGGCTCTCTGTTTTGAAGTACTACGTATGTTGTACGAATAGTATGTAAATGTAAATTTGCCTCCCAGAAATGAAGTGGGAGCTGGACTGGAAAGGTTTCAGTTTACATCGCGTACCTACCGGTCGATCACGTCAAACTCTATTAGTCGACGGAATTTCAGTAATGCCATTGTGAGCGGAGAAAAAAAAAGTTAGTTAGCTACTTGGATAAGTTCATAAACAATTCACGGCACGAGCTTACGAAATTGTTGCGCGCGGAGATAGTTTGATCCGATAAATAATTTGTAAACACGAGATCGGGCGGGGTGAACTAACAGCTACAGCAATGCAGATCTTTAGAAAGGGGGAGCACAAACGCGTGTGCAACGGCCCCCAGGAGTAAGCGTTCGTTGTTCCTCCATCGGACTGAGATATGCCACTTTCCGGCCTCTTAATCCCAGAACCAGCGCGCACGAAAAGTGATCCCAACTTTTCTGGTTAAAAAAAGTGATTGATAATCAAGAAAAAAATTGCGAGTTTGCGTAATCGATTCGACGCGAATCGAATTTAAAATTCGGCCTGTTGCGAACTTCGGTCGTAGACCCTTAGGGATTGCCGCAAAGGTAACGGATATGGCACTTTAAATGTCGATTGATTGGTCATAGTCACGTAAGGCGCGAGAAATAAGTGCGTAATTCCGCACGAGTGGCCGACTCGTAGAAAGTTGGGCGAGTTTAATGTTCGGAAAGGGAACAGTTAGCCCCTGTATTATGCAGCTGAGTATGGAACTTTTAAAGTAAATGTTGAAGTAGTAATAACGCGCCATGTTTCAATTTTTGGATCTTACTTACACATAAATAGGCCACATTGGGCGTGCACGCACCCCGTTATCTCTAAGCACCCCTGTTCTTTTTCAATGAGTGATTACAAGTTTGTTACATCTAGAATTGGCAAAATCTGGTAGAGCCGTACAGATTAGTTGCATCAAAATATACTAAATTAATTAATTTTTTCATTAATCTACCAGCGAAATATTGCAGCACAAACATCTCTTCGTACAGTATAATTGACGACCACTAAGGTTTAAACAAGAAAAGGATGATTAAACCATTTCTCAAGAGCATAGACAAAGATCCACTTTCCATCAGTGTCTCCAGTATCTACTGTGTTATCGGCTGCTTTCCCCTGGTGATTTTAGTGACACTTTTCAGTGTGTCCCTCAGCATTTCCATCAGCGTCCCATTCAATCTACTTCTCCTTCTACCTTCTTCCGCCTTCTGCCTTCTAGCTTGTACCTACCACCTTCCACCTTCTAGCTGCTACCTTCTACCCCCCAAATTTCTACGTTCCACCTTCTACCTGCTACCTTGTACCATCAATCTACTTCTACCGCAAAATCCTTCAACACCTTCATTCTCTTCAGTTTCTGCAGCTTCATTTCTCTTCTCCTGCCTTCTGTCCTTTCTGTATTTTCTGGCTTTCACTTCTACACCAACTCCTTCAATACATTCTTCAGCTGCTCTTTCAAGATTTCCCTTTGGGCGTCCTTAGAGAGGTCAAGGTATTCAGTATCTTCGTCGTCTTCGTGACCACTTGAGGCTATGGCGTTTTCAATGTTTCTTTGGTGCAATCTGTGTATTAGTCTCTTCAAGACCTTCATTCTCTTCAGTTTCTTCAGCGTCATTTTCAAAATCCAGTTCAGCGCCTTGCTAACGTTTGCTTCAAGTTATTTTTAGAGTAGTCCAGTGTCTTGAGGATCTCCACTGTCCGTTTGCTCTCCAACATCTTCTCCAGCTTCTCGTTCGGGGTTTCACCCTTAACGTCATCGGTACATTCCGTGTCTCAGTGTCTCCGGTGAATTAGAAACGATTTTTCCTTCACTAAATATGGTCCTTCAACAGCACTTTCCTAAGCACTTCTACTTCAACTCTTCCTCAGCGTATCCTTCAACGGCTTATTCAAGTTTTCTTCAGCGTCTCCTTCACTGCCATCGGTGCATTTGGTATCTTCGGTAGATTCCTCGTCTCTTTCAGTACGCATTCAGTTTCCCCTTCGGCGTCTTCTTCAACGTCCTTTTCCGTGATTCTGTCGGTGTCCGATTCTCGACTTCATGGTCTCCCGCAGCGGCTTAGCGTCTCCTTTAACATCTCCTTCAGGATATGAGCGTCTCTTTCGGTGTTCTTCATCGTTTCAGTGCCCTCAGTACCTTCGTTATCGCTAGTGTCTTCGAAGTCTCGGGGAGATAATGATGATTGTAGGGAAAGGGTCGTAGAATTTTCTTTTTACTGGGAGGTGTTCGACACTCCCAGACCCCCCGGGGCTGCATTTTCCCCCCAAAACTGTCTGCCTGGCCACTCTCAATACAGTTTTCCGTAAAATACTATCGCACGTAGCACCGGGGAGTCTGGGGGGTATGGAATACCCCCCAGTACACGAAGACTTCATTTAAATAAGTCTACGAATTGCTCCATGGTGATCGTAGGGAAAGGGTCATTGAATTTTCTTTTTACTGTGTGGTATTCCACACCCCCAGACCCCCGGGCTGCATTTTAACCTAGGATTGTCTCCTGACCAGTCTCATCACAGTAAAATACTATCGAACGTAGAAGCGGGGGATTTGGGGGGTATGGAATACTCCCCCAGCACACTAAGACTTTATTTAAATGAGTATACGATCATGGTGTTTGTAGGGAAAGGGTCGTAGAATTTTCTTTTTTCCCCCAAGACCGTCTGCCTGGCCACTCTCAATACAGTGTTCCGTAAAATACTATCGAACGTAGCACCGGGGGGTCTGGGAGGCATGGAATACACTTCAGTACACGAAGACTTCATTTAAATGAATCTACGAATGGTCTCTTGGTGATTGTAGGGAAAGGGTCATCAAATTTTCTATTCACTGCGGGGTATTCCACACCCCCAGACCCCCCGGGCTGCATTTTCCCGCAGGATTGTCCCCTGACCACTCTCATTACAGTAAAATATTATCGAAAGTAGCACCGGGGGGTCTGGGGGGTATCGAATATCCCCCAGCACACAAAGACTTTATTTATGTGAGTATACGAATGGCCTCATGGTGATTAAAATGGCCATTGAATCTTCTTTTTACTGAGTGGTATTCCACACCCCCAGATCCCCCGGGGCTGCATTTTCCCCCAAGATTGTCTGCCTGGCCACTCTCAATACAGTGTTCCGTAAAATACTATCGAACGTAGCACCGGGGGGTCTGGAGGGTATGGAATACCCCCCAGTACACGAAGACTTCATTTAAATGAGTATACTAATGGTCTCATGGTGATTGTAGGGAAAGGGTAATTCAAATTTCTTTTTACTGAGGGTTATTCCACACCCCCAGATCCCCCGGGGCTGCATTTTCCCCCAAGATTGTCTGCCTGGCCACTCTCAATACAGTGTTCCGTAAAATACTATCGAACGTAGCACCGGGGGGTCTGGGGGGTATGGAATACCCCCCAGTACACGAAGACTTCATTTAAATGAGTCTACGAATGGTCTCTTGGTGATTGTAGGGAAAGGGTCATCAAATTGTCTATTCATTGGGGGGTTTTCCACACCCCCAGACCCCCCCGGGCTACATTTTCCCCCAAGATTGTCTGCCTGACCACTCTCATTACAGTTTTCCATAAAATACTATCGAACGTAGTACCGAGGGTCTGGGGGGTATGGAATACCCCCCAGCACACGAAGGCTTTATTTAAATGAGTATACTAATGGTCTCATGGTGATTGTAGGGAAAGGGTAATTCAAATTTCTTTTTACTGAGGGTTATTCCACACCCCCAGACCCCCCGGGGCTGCATTTTCCCCCAAGACTGTCTGCCTGGCCACTCTCAATACAGTGTTCCGTAAAATACTATCGAACGTAGCACCGGGGGGTCTGGGGGGCATGGAATACACTTCAGTACACGAAGACTTCATTTAAATGAGCCTACGAATGGTCTCTTGGTGATTGTAGGGAAAGAGTCATCAAATTTTCTATTCACTGCGGGGTATTCCACACCCCCAGACCCCCGGGCTGCATTTTCCCGCAGGATTATCCCCTGACCACTCTCATTACAGTAAAATATTATCGAAAGTAGCACCGGGGGGTCTGGGGGGTATCGAATATCCCCCAGCACACAAAGACTTTATTTATGTGAGTATACGAATGGCCTCATGGTGATTAAAGGGAAATGGCCATTGAATCTTCTTTTTACTGAGTGGTATTCCACACCCCCAGACCACCTGGGGCTACATTTTCCCCCAAGATTGTCTGCCTGACCACTCTCATTACAGTTTTCCATAAAATACTATCGAACGTAGTACCGGGGGTCTG